CGGTTATTTCCCGGGAGAAAGCCGAAGGCTGTTCCCCAAGGTTTAGCAGCCGGAGCTGCCAGTCCATAGGTTGGACCTGGTATGCCGCCTGACCTCCGAAGGGAGCCGACTCCATGAATGGTGATCCATACGGGGCGTATTGCTGTTGGGGCACATACGGAGCCAGCTGGATCACGTGAGGGCCAATACGTGCGGACACGCCGCGTGACTGACTCCCTTGTTGAGTCTCCGAATGCTTCATTGAAGCATTTTGGAAATTGTCTGAGTAGGTCGACATAGAGGCCGACTGAGACATGCTCTGACTTCTCTTCTCCTGGATGAACATCCGAGCGTCAGAAAAAGTCTACTTTGACCCATCTGGTTGTGTATGCCGGATGGCCTTCCTTTGCCCTGATTCAGGGAAACGAAGTTTGGAGAGGTCGATCAGAGGCCCATCCGTCCCCTTGGGTTTGGGGTGAGGAGTAGGCACCTGGTCTTTGATTTGCTTCTTCGCGGAGGAAGAAGGCTTCTTCGCCGACTGACCCTTGTTTGAGCCAGTTGACTTCTTGATAATGTCCTTTATTTCCCCTTTGAAACTTGTCATGAACTTCATGAGCTCGTCTCTGGTGACGGGGGCAGCACCCTCCGCCGCCTGGGGTTGTCCAACAGGCTTGCCGCCTGGGTTGCTGGGACTAACTTTATCGCGACCCCGTTCCCTTGTTTCCTTGGAACGGCTGCGCCTAGATCGAAATGACCCGTCTGGGGCCATATAGGTTTCGACGTCGTAGTTGTCACCACTGCCACTTTCATGGTCCGTATGGACCTCAGGGTCAGCCGTAGGCCGGCTGCCCTCTGCATTCGGTACAGCATCAGATGCCATCTCAGTAGTACTCTCCCCACAGACGGCGCCAAATGTTTCGGGGGTTTTTGGAGTCCCTCGGGAGAGTTACAATACGGAGTATGTGCGCCTGACGTATGCACCTGTAAAATCACGAAACTCCGGTTGGGGGGAGTTCCGCCTCCGACGATCAAGTTAGTATGATTCCGGATGAGTAAATGGGCGGAAAGTAAATGGGTATTTCTCACTGATTCAGAGAGATTCCGCAATTAATATTGCTCGGGTTTTGTGTATGTATTTATGAATGTCAATAAATGAGGATGATTCCTCTATTTATAGTAGATGAGAATCTGCTCCCCCATCGGGGGTTCAATGCCACGTGGCATCCTTTGATTGGATCCCTTAGGGCCTGTTTGAGGGTGACACGTGTCAGGTCCTCATTAGGCCATGTGGCAGGGGTAATTTTTACCCCAAACATGGGCCGACCTTTTAAAAATTTTGACCCGGCACGGCACGACACGTAAATCGTTTGCCGGTCCAAGGGATGGGCCTAACTAATCCCAAAGCACGTGTGTTTCGGGGGTTTTTGGAAACCCTCGGGATATAGGTCTTGAATACAGCCGAACGGTCTTGGACACCTGCAAAATAATGAATATTCCGTTTGACAGAATATTCGCCTCCGACGATCAAGTTAGAGATCGGAAAACGAAGTATTGTAGGGAGAGAAAGTAGAGAGAAGTTGGAGCTATTTAGTGCTCTTGAATGATATGTCTCAATCCACCCCTCCCATCATAAATGATTAGGATATTTATAGAGGTGGGAATGTGTGCCACTTTAGGGTTTGTGCCCTAAAAAGGTGGATTTTGATTGGCGGCGCAATCAGGTAAGGACATGTGTCCTTTCGGGGCGCCGTTTTGCGGCTTTCTTTAGATTTGAGCCTCCTGATGTAAGGAGGCCTTTTCTCTCATTCAGGTGCTCTTAGAGTTGCCACGTGTCATCTTCCTATATGGACATGTATCGCCCTTTAATTGGGCCACGTGTCACTATGGGATTGGACCACATGTTGGGGTATTTTTTTACCCTAAACATTTGCCCCTCAGAGGGGGAGACTCGTACCATACGGGCCGCCTCCTCTGATCTTTATTCGTCCGACATCGTCCGAATGTTAGGCTGATGTGAAAGGAATGGTGTACTTCGAACAAGTGTATCATTCTGATAGAGGGTTCGGAATTAATTAGAAAGCTAATTATTCGGTGAGGTCAAGTGATTGGAATGCCTAGCTAGAGGTCGCTTCCAATCAGTAATCTTGACTGAACCCTTCGGGTCACACCTAATCGTGTAACCGAACCGAAGTGACGAATTGTTCCGAAGGATAAATGAGTCAATAGAGATTTTACGAACTAAGACGTCGGATACCGAGCTCAGAGCGTCGAAGCCGAGCGTCAAAAGTTGAGTCGAATTTATGAGTCGACGAGACCGAAAAATCAATTAAACGATAAGTCAACGCGCGTGAAAATCCTAGCCTCGATCTGGCCTCGCCAATCGAGGGCTAGGTAGGCTAGCATGGCTAACCGGGCTCCTTGCCGCAAGGCAAGGCTTGGGCGCAAGCCCATCATACATCGCATGTATTGGCTGGGCGAGCTGGCCGAGCAGCCATGCGGGCAAGGTTCGCCAGCATGGCGAGCATGCATGCGAGGAGGTGCACCAGCAAGGCCAGCAGCCAGCAAGGCATGCTAGGCCTCGCTGGTAGCAGTAGTAGCAGCAGCGCACAGCGCAGTAGCCCGCATTGCGTGCGAGGTTTGCTGGCTGGGCTGTGCGTGTGTGCGGGCTGGCTGACATGCCCAGTCGAGCACCAGATCGCCAGCAAGGCGTGCCTTGGTGTCCAAGGCTGGAGCCACATATTTGGTGCCGGCAACTTGGTTGGGGAGCAAGGCAAGGTTGTCCTTCTCTTTGTGGTCCTCACCCACTCCCTAACTCTCCTTGCGCCACTTGTCGTTTAATGATTATTTCGGTTTTTTAATTTAATTTGAAACTAAATTAAATCTTATTTTTGCTTTTTACCAACTATCCCACATTGAAAGATGATGGGAATTTTTGTGGAGATTTCCCTATAAATACCCATCATTGGGTATTGGGAATTTTACTGGAGTTGGTGAACTTTAAGGGATCTCCAAATTTGAGAAAACCTTTGTTCGTAAACTCTAAGTTGTTTTTGGGGGAAATTCTATTTGGCGGCCTCGTGGTTTCAAAAATTCCACATGGAAGACAAACTTTTTTTTTAGTCTCTTTAGTGGCACCAAGGTTTAGAAAAATATACATAGTGACCTTTTTTAAGTTTATAGCTAACCTTTTTAGCTAAAATGGTTAACCTTTTAATTTTATTTTTAAAAATAAATTAATTTAAAAAATAAAATAAATAAATTATTAAAAAAAAAAAGTCAGCCACCATCAACTACCACCCTTCCTCCCTGCCACCACCAACCCCACACCCGCCAGCGCCCAAACCCACCCTCGCCGGCGCCCAGACCCATCCTCGCCGGCGTGCAGGCCTTCCGAGCCGTCACCAATCCCCCTGAACCACCACCCCATCCCCGAAACCCCCTCCCTCTTTCACCGAAACTCCACCACCGACCCTTCCCTCACCTCGAAAACCCCAATCGGCCCTCCTTCCACCTCGAGAAAACTCGTCGCCCCTCCCCTCACCACGAGAAAATCCAGCTCCGGCTTTGTTCCTTCGATTTGTGGTTGCTGCCGCTTATTAAGAGATGTGGCTGCTGGTTTATGGTGGCGCGGTGGTGGAGTTTCGGTGAGAGAGGGAGGGGGTTTCGGGGATGGGGTGGTGGTTTAGGGGGATTGGCGACGGCTGGAAAGGCCTGCACGCCGGCGAGGGTGGGTCTGGGCCAGCGGGTGTGCGGTTGGTGGTGGCAGGGAGGAAGGGTGGTAGTTGATGGTGGCTGACTTTTTTTTTTTTTTTTTTTAATTTATTTATTTTATTTTTTAAATTAATTTATTTTTAAAAAATTAAAAGGTTAACCATTTTAGCTAAAAAGGTTAGCCATAAACTTAAAAAAGGTCACTATTGTTTGGGGTTTTTTGATGTGTCCTGCGGGAGAGTTACAATTCCGAGAATGCCCTTCGCCGCCTGTACCTGCAAAACCACGAAGACTCCGGTTGGTTGGAGCTCCGCCTCCCACGATCAAGTCAGTTACGTTTGGGAGGAAGATAGTGTATAAAATAGTGAAATTACTTCTCGCGTAATGGGAGAATTCCGCAATTAATATTGCTCGGTTGTTGTGTAAGTCTTTATGAATGTATTTAATATTCTGAGTTGAATTGAATGCCCCATTAATGAGGATTCTCCCACTATTTATAGTGGGGAGACTTGGTTCCCCATTTAAGGTTCCTGGGACACGTGTCAGCAGGGGATTGGAGCCCTGCTGACCAATGGTGGGGTGCCACGTGTCGCACTGCCATAGGGTCACGTGGCTGGGGTATTTCTACCCTAAACATTTGCCCTTCTCAGGTGCTGACGTGGCAGGGTGCCACGTGGCGCCTGAGAAGAGAGCTGACGTATGCAACCCTTTTTTTTTTTTTTTAACCTCTTCAAATTCTAACTGAAAGAGGGAAAAGCAGAAGGGGAAGAGTCGCGTCCCTTCGCCTTCTGAGGAAACCCCTATAAATAGGGGGGAAGACACACACGAGAGCTCATTTACAAACTTCGTGAATTTTCTTGAATTTTGAGAGCATCCGGTACTTGAAATTCAGAGCAGACGGAGATTTGAAAATTTAGAGTAGCCGGTTTTCAAACCTCCTGTAAGGTAGCAAGCAAGCAAAAGTTTTTTCGTGAGGGTACCCAAGAGAACCCAGTTGGTCTTCAAACCGTCTGTGTCTTTGCAAGCATCCCCAAGAAATTTCTTGAGGTTTCAGCAATCTCTTCTACTCTACGTACAGTCTTTATTCCTTCTCGCTTTTCCATGTATTTCCGTTTGCGTCTTTTGCTTGCATTTTTGTTTATTAGTCCCACAGGTAGATGGACCCTTTATACCCATACCCGGAACATAGTTGTGAACTCAGTCGGTCAATTAGTACGGCTGAGTCTAGAACTGGATCTGCCGCCTCTGGTCTTTGGAATTTCCCCTTGTCAACGCCTGTATTGACCGACTCCGTGTCTGTGCAGGACACGATGGCCAGAATTAGGGGAACAACTATGGACCCCAATTACAGAGGCGGAGACTCAAATGAGTTATCGCCTGAGAGACAAGGCCCAGACGAGGCGGCTAGAGAACCATCCGGCGGCACTCCCGCCACCCCAAGCGACAACATTTTAGGCTCCTACAACGAGGAGACCTCTCCTGCTCAGGAGGCTGAGCAACCGAGAACCGCCAATGAGGGTCCCAATTCCCCATCCGGCTCTGATGACGGTCGCGTTGAGAGCAGTAGCTCCAGCTACTTGACCATGTCTGAAGATAGTGAGGAGGCGGAGAGGCCTTCGTGGCAAAGCAGAAATGACCCTCTCATGATCGCCGTCTCTCTCAAAGACCGGGCCCTCATGCGGTCTTCTCTAACCGATTTCATTACCAAGCGACCGCTTGGTGGAGGGTACAAGCTGCTCGTACCAGGCGAGTTCGGGACGGTTGTATGGGAGGATGACCAACCCAACGCTAACAGTTGGTTTGGATGCTACGAGGTGGCTTTTCTAGCCGGTGTCCACTTCCCCCTTCACAACACGATTAAGGCCATACTTAGGGGATATGGCCTAGGCGTTTGGCAACTCACCCCTAATTCGTGGGTGAACATTCTAGGGTACATCGCCGCCTGTGAGATGCAGGATCTCCACCCCGGCTGGGAGGCGTTTGCCCATATGCATTATTTAAGCCGGAGCCCAGGCGCCTGGATTGCCTGGTACACCTTGACGACTCATCCTCAATATATGATGACCTTGGATAAGCCGTCTAAATGGTCGGACCGGAAGAACCGGTTCTACCTGGTCAAGGCTCCGACTGAGGAGGAGAACAAGGAGTACCGGACCTGCAACCGGAAACCCGAGCTTTTGGGGCAGAAGTGCCGGCTGCCCCCAATGCCTGATAATGATAGGGAGGCCATTTTGGACTGCGGATTTTTTGAGCTGACCTCTTCCTCTCTCTCAACCGGAGAGATAATAAGGGTACCCAAGAACTGGGTGCCCAAACACGAATTTTTTAGGGACGAGTGTTTCTTGTCCGCCTGTGGGCTTAGCAGCATGTTTGAAAGACGTAGGTTACGAAACCTAGCCGGTTAATTTTATGCCGGCTGACCTTTTTCATTTGATTGTAATGCAAAATTATCATGATTTTGACCGGATGTATTTGCGTTTTGTAAAAGAAGCTAAAAACATGCTGCCCACCGCCAAGACACCCGCAAAGAAAGCTTCAGATATCCGCAAGGAGAATCTGGAGAAAAAGCTTGCCGCTCAGGCGGCTAAAAAGGTTAGCCCGCCTGATCCTCTCTATTTGTCTGCCTTGATGCTATTTTGGCCATTTCTTCACCTGACCATTTGTGATCTTGTTTCAGGATGGGGGCGTTATCCCTCGCTCCCTGCAAAAACAGATCCGGCAACGGCCGTCTGTTGAAGAACCTGCACTTAACGTGCAGAGAACCGCTTCTACCGCCCCGGCTACAACCGGCGGTAAATCTATAAAGACCCCAGGCGGGTCTAACACTGAAACGGCCTCGAAAGAGGTCACTCCAATAAGGACCGCAACCGGTCCATCTGCTGCTGGAGGCCAAAAGGCTTCCCAAAAAGGTACAAACCCCTTCAACCTCACGCTGCTTGACCTACCCATGCAGGTTAAGTCATATTCCGCGTCTCAGCCGTGAGATTCTCCGATCAGCCGGCTGTCCGTAGGCGGAGCATACGCAACATTCTCACCGTCTGTTTCTGGTGCAGATAATTCTCCACGCTGGCCGGACGCTGCTCAATACGCCCGGGCCATGCTGAAAGCCGTCCCCCGGGACGAGAAGGAGGCGATTCCTGGAATCAATACCTTCAATGCCGACCGTGTGATGGTCGACCTGGCCGATGTAAGTCAATGAGTACCCACCCGGCATTTGAGTTGTAGTATACCCATCCGGTTTTTTACTAATACCGGCTGTGTTGTTGCAGGCACTGCTCCGCGTGGAGGGACTCAAGAAGGCCTACATCCGCAAACAGGAGGAGGTAAGAAGAGCCAAACGTTCTGCGGATGACGCACATAGCATTGCCCACTATTCAATGATTGTGCATGACTTAGAAAATAAATCTATAATCATGCAACAGGCGGATCAGGTTAAGTCCCTCCAAAATGCCCTCAAAGAGTCGAAGACAAAAATAGACAACCTCCAGGCGGCCCTAGACAATGCTGAAGATAAGCTCAAGAAGCACGAGGAGCCCCACAAGCGGCTTGACCAGGCAGAGAAGAGCAGCAAACGGTTGCAACTATAGAATGACCGCCTGGTCAAGGAGGCTACTGATGCTCAGCGCAACTTCCAAGCCACTCTTGAAGCTGATCAGAGTCGGCTCATTGAGGAGAATGAGTAGGACTGCGAAAACCGAATGAAGAGGGCGTTCTCCATTATCCATCCGGGTACAGACTACAACGTCTGGGAGCTCGCCTACAAGTACGCAGACCTTACCATTCTGGCTGAGGAGGAGGGCAAGCCGAGGCCTGAACCCTATGAGCAATGGGTTGAGGCGGAGTTCAAGCGGATGCAGGAGGAGGCGGTTGGCAACGAAGAGGCAGTCGAGTATGAGGTTGCTCCCGGCTCTGTTCCCACCACCGACCCATCTCATCCGGAAGGGAACCAGGCTCAGGCTGACCGGGTGACTGTGCAGCTAGAGTAGCAACGACCTCCCGGCCTGCGCGCCGTGCATTATTTTGTAATAGCGCCGGAAGGGTCGGCTTACTCTGCTGTTGTCTTTTATTTTGAATACTGATATATTCTCGCCAGCTGTGCCGGTTTATTCTGTAAACAATTTATATTTTCACCGGCTGTGCCGGTTTATTCTGCTACATTTCTACCGGCTGTGCCGGTTTTGAATGAATTTTTGAATTTCCTTCTTGCTGCTTACTTTTTTGAATGAATGTGCTTGTGTGTTTTCCGCATGACTGGTTGGGGTTAGGGTAGGTAATTGCCCCTGGATAGGGGGCTGGCATAGGTGAGATGATGCCAGGCAGCTATCCATATGCCATAACACAAATGTTAACCGATTTAGCTAAGCGAAAAGCAGCCGGTTTTTACTGATTTGGCGGCTGAGGCTTCTGGGAAAGGCCTTTTTGTAGGATTTAGGGTGTCAGTTTGCCGGTTGGGCCTTTGCAAGAACACCCCTTCATAGATTATGGCATAAATCAAATGCTTGATGCCTGCCTTCTCTTAGTCGATTAGGCGGCACTTTAAGTACCGGCTGTCTGTTTTGAGATCAACTTTTAGTGGTAGTCCAAAGAGTGGGCCGACTGCATGTTTTGGAATGCTAGCCCACGATTCTTTGGTGCCATGGATCATTCAGGCGGGTAGGACCGCCTGATTTTTGACCACTAGAACAATTTTCCACCCGAATGAGAGATGTTCCCTTCGATGAATTCACTCGAATGGGTGTCACCGGTTGATTCGTTAGTTTTCAGGGCCGGTTGTGTTGGGCACAAGACATGGCGCATGGAAAATCGATAAATGGGGTCGCTTGTGTTAAACGCAAGACATGGCGCATGTAAGCATAATATGTAGTGAATCTTCTCATTAATTATACAGAAGTCTACAAAAGCTATACAATTTCGAAGTAGTACTTTTTAAGATTGTCTATATTCCAGGTTCTAGGCAGCTTTCTACCGTCTGGGGTTTCCAGGCGGTATGTGTCGTCTCGTACTTCTTCAAAGATCTGGTAGGGTCCCTCCCAATTTGGGGTCAATTTGCCTTGTTCATTGGCCCTACCTGTTGCTTCCAATTTGCGAAGCACAAAATCTCCTACTTTCAAGGGCCGTTTGTGAACCCGCTTGTTGTAGGCTCTTGTCATTCTCAGGCGGTAAATCTCATGACGCAAGGCTGCGTTGCCCCTTCGCTCTGGGAGAGCGTCCAGGGCAAGCCGCATGGCTTCCCAGTTGGCCGCCTTATCATATAGCATGATGTGAAGTGTTGGCTCATAATGTTCAATAGGGAGCACCGCCTCAGTGCCATATGTCATAAGAAATGGGGTTTCACCGGTTGCCCCTTTTTCAGTGGTCCTGATGGCCCAAAGGACATGAGGTAATTCCTCTGCCCATAGTCCACCGGCTCTTTCCACCTTCTTCTTTATACCGTCAGAGATCAACTTATTGAAAGCCTCAACTTGTCCGTTTGCCTGAGGACGGCCAACGGATGCAAAACAATGGGAGATTCCTTAATCTCCCAACCAGCTCTTGAGGACAGGCGTTTCAAATTGTGGTCCATTGTCAAAAACCATAGACATTGGAACCCCAAACCGGGTGATGACATTTCTCCAAATGAAGGAGATAACGTCCTTTGTTTTTATGCCTTTGATCGCCTATGCTTCAACCCATTTAGTGAAGTAATCCACTGCCACCAAAATATAGCGGCGACCTCCTGATGCAAGAGCATACAGACCCAGAATGTCCATGCCCCATTTTGCGAACGGAACCGGACTATGGATGGCTGTCAAGTCAGTTGCCGGTCGATGTATCAACTGGGCGAACTTTTAGCATTTGTCACACCGTTTCACCAAATCCATGGCGTCTGCCTCAAGAGTGGACCAAAAGTAGCCCTGCTGTCTGGTTCTTCTTGCCAAGGACCTGCCGCCTATGTGTGAGGCACAAAAACCCGTGTGCAGATCCTCTAGAACCTCTCTTCCCCTTTCAGGGGTTACACACTTTAGAAACGGCTGTAGGTATCCCTTCCGGAGAAGTTCTCCATGATGCATAACGAATCTCAAAGAACGCTTCTTGAGCGCCATTGCTTCAGAAGGGTCATCCGGTAAAGTGCCGTCTACCAAGTAATCCCGGATGGGGTCCATCCAGGTGACACTTCGGTCTAGGATACCAATGGGGTCATGATCAATCCTTCTTTTCTCAATGACTTCCCAAAAAACCGTCCTAGGCGCATCACAGGAGGAGGATGATGCCAATTTGGAGAGGGAATCCGCCTGATTATTCTCGGACCGGGGCACCTGACTTAGATGAAATTCATCAAGTGACACGGCCTCTTCCCTGACCGCCTGCAAATATTTGATCATAGCCGGATGGGTGGCTTCGTAGTCACCATTGTATTGGCTAACGATCAACTGAGAGTCTGAGCAGGCGCTAACTTTTCTTGCCCCTGCCGCCTTACACATGCGTATACCGACTAGCAGGGCCTCATACTCTGCCTCATTATTTGAGGCCTGGAACTGGAACCGTAGTGCATATTCAAACTTATCCCCTTCCGGAGAATGGCATATAACGCCTGCACCACAGCGGTTCACTGTAGAGCTACCGTCTACGAGCTGGTTACCGTCTCTCTCAGCAAGGAGAACGGCACTGAGGGCATGATCAGAGACGGCTAGATACATATAGAGGACCTCCCGGGGCAGGGGGCTCACTAGCCTTGGCAAAGAGTGCAAGTGTTGCTTTAGCTTCTGGAATGCCATTTCTGCCTCTTCACCCCACTCGAATCTGGACCTCTTCCGGATGGCCTGGAAGAAATAGAGGCACTTGTCACCTGACCGGCTGAGAAATCTTCCCAACGCCGCCAAGCAACCGGTCAATTTCTGGACTTCTTTTACAGTGCGGGGAGAACGCATGTCAATGACCGCCTATACTATTTCCGGATTAGCCTCTATGCCCCTTTGGTCGATCAGAAATCCGAGGAACTTCCCAGACTCAACACCAAATACACACTTATTTGGGTTAAGCATGACCCGGTGCCGCCTGAGTGTGGTGAATGTTTCTCGGAGGTCCAATAGGTGATCCGTCTGTAACATGGATTTGACTATCATGTCATCAATGTACGCTTCTACATTCCTGCCAATCTGATTGATGAAAACGGTGTTTATCATGCGTTGGAATGTAGCCGGTGCATTCTTTAACCCAAACGGCATCACCTTGTAACAAAATAACCCCTGATCAGTGACGAAGGCCGTCTTTTCTTGATCTTTTTTCCATAGGGGTATTTGATGGAAACCTAAGTAGGCATCCATGAAACTCATCAGAGCATGACCGGCTGTAGAGTCGACCAGACTGTCGATCTTTGGAAGCGGGTAACTGTCCTTTGGACATGATCTGTTCAGATCTGTGTAGTCTACACACATCCGCCAGGTACCATTCGGCTTTTTCACGAGGACAACGTTTGCTACCCAATCCGGGTAGTAGCATTGCCGGATGAACCCAGTATCTAACAGTTTTTTGACCTCAACCGCTGCCGCCTGAGATCTCTCTTCACCGTGATCCCTCTTTTTTTGCCTGACCGACTTCTTTTTAGGGTCCACGGCGAGCTTGTGGACAGCTAGATCCGGGCTGACGCCTGACATCTCTTCCACTTCAAAGGCAAAGATGTCTTTGAATTCTCTTAGAAGTTGGAGCAGGTCTGCTCCCAACCGTTCATAAGCAACCGTCCCAACTTTGACAGTTCTATCAGGACGGCTGTCGTCTAGGACGACATCAAGACAGTCACCAGCCGGCTGGGGTCGTTGATCATCTGACCTTTCCCCGGCTAGTGATTGCTATTTTTCTTGCTTGACAGGTTCCGTTTGGTCCGCCTTTCTTTTCTTACCGGCTGCCCTTGGAGCCGGGACTGCTGTATCGCAGTTATCAAGGTCTGTGGGCTTGCCGTCTCCGGCTGCTCCCATAGTAGGTTTGATGTCAGAGAGATAGCACTCCCTAGCCGTCCTCTGGTCCCCTTTCAGGGAACAGACTGTACCATCGTCCTTTTCAAATTTGACGAGCATGAGTGAAGGAACGATGACAGCCTTGGACTCATTGAGGGTCGGACGGCCAAAAATCATGTTTTAGGTGGCGAGCTCTTCTACAACCAGGAATTTTATCACCATGTGGCGTCCTTCCCCCTTTTCACCCAGCCGGATGGGAAGATCTATGCTTCCTATCGGATGCACTACGCCTCCCCCAAAACCAACAAGCGGGTGAGGCGCCTGGTGCATGTTACTGGATTTGTACTTGAGCTTGGTCAAGCACTGATAGTTGATTAGGTCAGACGAGCTCCCGGTATCTATTAGGATTCGGCCAACCCGCTGTTTGGCAACTTTACATTCGATGACTATGGGGTCATCGTGAGGCCGCCTGACCTTGCCTCAGTCCTTTTCAGAGATAAAAACCTTAGGAAAGGTGTCTTTCGACGCCTGGCTCTCCTCAACTGAGTTGACCAGCTTCCTAATATTGTCTTTGGTGCCCCTAATAGTGGGACCCCCTCCGGCAAAGCCGCCTGCTACGGTGAAGATTGTCTCTTCATCCGTCTCAGAGTTGGCAA